AGGAGGCTGCCAAGGAGCTGGCTCCGACGCCGCTCGCCCCCACATCCGGGCTCGTTACCTTCGTGCCCATCGCCCCCGTCCCGCCCACCACCACCATCGCCGCCACGGAGCCCTCCAAGAGGACGACCCGCGAAAGCACGTACCTGAACATGTTCAACATCAACCCGGATATCGGTGAGCTACGTCCCAGCGTCGTTACCATAAGGACCACTATCCAACACGCATTCAGACAACTTTTTTATCAGTTTGTTGTCATCACTACTACTAATTTGACAGTTACTGGTAAACATTTGACGATTTAAACATTATTGCATTTTTAGGGCAGAAGTAGTGAATTACTAATCATTATTAAAGACCAGTCCTTGATGCTACAGATCTAATGATTTTGGCTCACCTATTGACTTTCTTATCACTTCACATTCATTGATTTGAAAAAGTTTGTAAAGCCAACAACAATCCTAGTAACAGAGGGTGACTTATTTCAGGTGAAAGATACACAAGCTTGTTCATCATACTATTTTAGCAATAAAATAATTCCTTTACAATTTTGTCCTTAAAAATGTAGATTCCAGCAGGAAACTTTTTTCTTTTTTTAAAAAATTTCATCTGTGTGTGTGTAATGGATTAGAAACAGATGAGCATAAGTAGATTTTTAAAAAAAATTAAGTTAAGTGCACTTTGAGTAGTATTTTTAAAGGGCAGAGAGGTTGAAGAGGATATCATCAACTGCTGTTGCTCAGTTGCAGGCGTGATAAGTTAATTCATCAGATTTAAATGCATTGACAGTCATTCTGTGTCAAATCACGCACTTATAAAATGTCACTATCTTTTAGTGACAAGAATAATTTTTATGAGGTTTATGGTTGAAATTAGACATTTTTCTTTTCTCTAATATCTCGCTTCTTTCAGAAATTTTTCCAATATTTTTTTCGTAAGAATCTTGTGTATGTTAATGTTTAAACATTTTTTGCACATCTACCTATTCCTACCAAAAAAATACACTTAAATTAAACCTAAAAAGATGTACTTTGATATGGTTTAAATATAATTTTTGTTATGACATTATTTAAGTATTAAAATTTATTTTAAATTTTAAGATACAAATTGTCACATTAGGCCAATACTTATGTATATCGAAAAAACAGGTTTCCAAAATTCCTTACTGTGATAAGTGAAGTTTCAAGTTTTTAAAAGAAAGTGAGAATTGTTGAAACTTGTGAATGCCACAAACATATTAGATAATAACAGTGAGGAATAAATTTTTGCGTCTTCATGGAATACAAATGAAATTTGATGCCAGGAGTTTACATTGTTGTGTGTTATAGTTTTAAAGAAAATTATTCTTTAGTACTTAAAGATGCGAAGTACATTACCTTTAAATGTTTTGACAGTGAACATAATTTAGAGAAAGAGAAGTGTAGCAACGTGATGTGAGGCACAAAGAAAATACGCAGTTTCATTTCTTTATGAAGCAGTCAATAAACAGTATTCTCTGCCAAGTGAAGACAAAACAAACCTGAATCACTCTTATTTATTTCATCCATACTTTTTAATTTTAATTTAAGTGGTAATGAAGGTCATAAGTACATTGTAATATGTAAAGGGATATTTCTATTTTTCTGTGAAAGTATAACAGTGGTAATTGTCTACTGCTAATTGGCTCATCCTTGGGGCCGATGCTCTGGCAAACACTGCAGCAGAACAGCAAGCGGAAATATCTATTGTCTTTAATTTCTCAGAAACCTCTCGAAGTTCCACTATGAAACTTAACAAACTTGTGCCAAACTATTCCGAGAATACAATGAAATTTTTTCAAATTTTGAATTTTTTAGAATTATGAAAAAAATTAAAAAACGAAAATAAAAATGTATTTTAAAGAACTTACTGAATTCAATATACATATCAAATGCAAGAGCATATTTTGTTCTTTAGTTTCGAAAAATTTTAAATTTCTGTCAAATTACATTGCGAGTTAAAAACGTTTAAAATTAGCAATGTCATATTTTTTTAAAAAATTAAAAATTAATATTGTCTCCAAAAATTCTTTATAAAAAAATGAAAAATAAGCTTGCACTCCCAGTAGAAAAGTGTTGTAACTCAAAAAAAGTAATTTTTCAGGGGAGCGCTTTAAAGGTTTGAAATTACATTATTAAATCATGTTTATGAAGCGCAAACATTGCCAATAATTGACTAAAATAAGCCTAAAAAGAAATAACACTATTTTAGGACACGAGAGCATAACATTTTTACTCTTAACTAATGTATGTAACTCATAATTCAATTTTTTTGAGTTACACTTTTCTACTGGGGTGCGTTGATTCACATTTTTTCCTATTGGTACTGTTCATTGGCAAAAAAAGTTTAAAAATCCTGAGTATGATGGTCCAATTTTCCTTAAATTTGTGTGATTTCACATGGAATGACTCGTAGAAACAAGATATTTGACAGTCTAGATGATCCTCTTTTTTTGCTCGAGTATAATGTAGGAAACTTCCAAATATCAGTGATGATGCCTGTAAATCTATAAGTATCATTCTGGATTATGAAGCCGGTAAGTTGCATGACTGGTTAAGGCAGGTAAGAATAAGTTGAGTGTTTCCTAAAGTCTTTGTTTTGCAATGTTTTCATATCCTGTTCTCAATATAAAGATCACAGGCATTATTTTTAAGGCAAGCAGCACATCTTAATTTAAGATACAAACACCTTTGCGGAGGCCATAAAAATTACACTTCTCATAAAATGAATTCCTAGAATAGTTTTGCCACTTATACCACTATATCATTAAAATATTTAATGTATGTTGTGAATGTGGAAACATTTGAACCAGACATATAATTTGAAAAATTGATATTAATCGGAAATATTTTCAATTCATTCTCAAATTAATGCTGAAGAAGAAGAGGTTATGTGAGAGCGTAGGTTTCCGCGGCCGGAGTCGGTATTTACTAGGCTGTCCGGGTGATGCCGCGTCCTTGGCGAAGGTGCCAACGTTTCGGTCGCCATTCTGCGACCTTCCTCAGGGCATTACGCCCTGAGGAAATAGAAGAGGTTATGTCCCTTTTACAGTGCACATTTTTACCCTGCACTTCTATTCCTGTTTAGAATCTTACACCAATTGGGTGCTCACTTAAACATGAATTCTGATATCAAGGCTGCTTTCGACGTTTGACATCATTACAACAAAACTGTGAAAGATGATAAGAATCTGTAGCATCAAATGAAGATGAATTGTTCCCTGAAAAGTAGAAAAATGAAGATTAAAAAATGAAAGTTAATAACCTTTAAAGTAAAAGTGGTACAAATGATAATTGCCATGGACATTTCAGTTATAATGATGAAAGTGAACTACTCTTTCTTTATATCGTACTCTCAGGACATTCTCCTGCATACTTCAATCTCAAAACTTATTTATTTTTTCTTTTCAATTTTTTATTACTTTATTGAATCTTATATGTATGTCTATCAATTTTTTAAACAGTTATTCTTTCTATACATTAATTAATACACTTTCTATACATTATTAAAACATTAAATGTTCACATCACATTTTAAAATTACACGTTCACATCACGTTTCAAAATTTTTAAAATAATTCTGACAATTGGCTGACAGCCTAACATTGTAATGACCTAAAATCGGTCATGATTGATGCTTGGTACAGGGCTTCAGTAATTCAATCAATTCATATATTTTATTTTTTTGTGTTTTTGGATGTAAAAGTAAATATATTCTTCAGTAATACTTAGAACTATTCTTAGAACTTTAATTCGCAATAAACATAACCTTCTGGAGGGTAGAGAAGAAGGGAAATTGCCAAGAAACTGCTATACTGAAGCAATGCATTTCACCACAAAATGACTTTACAAACATTTTTTGTTCATCTAATTGAAGGATGGAATGTGGTGAATTTTTATTCCTTCCTAAAATGACTCACCCTGTGCCAGCAGCTTGCCAGTTTATTAATAATTACATTTTTTATATTCTTCATCCAGACATTCAATATATTTTTAGTAAAAGTCAAATGTTAACTGATGTTTAACCTTTTGCAGGTCCATTTTTGGATGCTCTGTTGCGCCGCTTGGAATTGTTTCACAGTAATGGGCTGGCAGTAAATTTGCAACTGACAGGACTGATTAGCAGGTTGGCCTGCTTTCCGCAACCACTTTTACACTCCTTTCTACTGAACCAGTCACTTGTCTTCCAACCCAGTATTCGCTCCCTTTTTCAAGTAAGTGTTCTGTTTATCTCAACTTGAAGACAGTTTTAGTTGGTCACTTTTGCTCCTTTTATTTCTTAATTGACTTGTTTTTACAGTATTAGATCTTCATGGGCTATGTCAAAATTAAGTTTCATTAGCTTACTTGAGGTTACAAGACAACAATTATATTGACATTCAAACCATCTGTGTTGTCTTGCTGCACAACATTTTAATATTCATACAAATTCTTGTACACTTTATTAACATAGAAAATTGTGTGAGCACATTGGAATGGATCTGGAAATTTCCAATCCACTTGTAGATTTGACTTTTCCACAAATGAAATTTTCTTCAAGAGTGTTTCAGAATGAGCCAAATATTGATGGTATTACTGAAACACCCACATTCAAGACATTCCACTTTCTTTGACAGATGCAGTACAATTTATGATAGTTCAGTAGACAGAAATGGTGTACAGGTTCGGTAGACAGATGTACTGCTTTGATTGGTGTACCCCAATTGGAGTTTGTGTTGTTATGTGTCTTAATTTCATGAATGGCATAACAAAAAAAAAAAATTAATTCATATTTATTTATTTGTACATACAACTGCATAGAACTGCCATAATATATAATATATAACAGCCATAATATTTTGATCTAAAAATGTGTATTTTTAAAAATTTTATTTTCACACTTCATCTTTTGAACATATTTACTTGAACGTATGCTTTGTTGTGACTGAACCCTCTGGTTTCACCAAGAGTGGAAAAGAAATCTTTGCATATTCAGAAATTTGTGTTCCATTGTAGGTTTTGGGCACCTTGAAGCACAAAACAGATGCATTCCTTGCTCGCCATGATGGTGTGGATGAGCTTGTGCTGCAAGCACAGGACTTTTTGGTGAGTCGTGAGGAGCGTCTGACAAATGCACGTCGCCATGCACAAGATGCATCTTCCTCTGCTTCCAGCCGCCGTTCTACTCTTACAAATGATCCCTTTTCAAGAGGTAAGCAGAAAATGGAGAAATGAACATATTTTAGAATTGTTGTAATTAGTTCTGTAACTTATATCTTGTAATATTTTGAAGCAATCTTTAGATATTAAAGAAATAGACAATGAATATGAAATGTAGTACTCACAAAGAGCTGTGTCTCCTAACTAGACATATGCAGTACAAAGGACAATAAACCGCAGCAATATTTCAACTAGGGATGGATTTTTAACGAGATCTGGGGAAGAATCAAAATATAGTTGAAACACATGTTGCATAGAATTGTCGCAACGCGTCAAACTTAAGACGCAACGCTAGGGACGTTGAGCGCTTCCGCTCTTTGGAGTTAATCCTTCCATCAACTATTGCACGGGAAAAGTAATCTTAGCAGCGGCTTTGGTTTATTCAAAATCCCGCCTGTGAGAGAGTACAAAACTGGCAATAATTTCGATAGTCACCATTTTCGTTTTTCACTTATTCTGGAGTCCAATTCAAACCTATGATTCACTAGGACATGTGATCTACATGAATTGACAGATTTTAAGGCAACCACATTAACACAAAATGACACACATTGTGATCTTAAACCGCCAGTCAAATGTTCCCACTACCACTACCAACTGCGCTAGTCAAATGGATCTAAGTTAAATTACGATTGCAAATATTTAAATATATTCCACGAAAAAACATTACTACTAATAAAATAAATTAAAACTACAAGTGTTAATATAGAATTAAAAGCCAATTTTAGATTAACACAAATCGAACAAACACTTACTTAAGAATGATTTCTCAATGATTAATTGAAGTCAATATTTGGTTTGGAAAACTTCTCTGTTGATTGGTCAAAGATCCTGCTATAAAAAGGAAATTTGTGATGTTAAACGAGTATCATTAGTCCAACGGGTTGCAGCCATCAAATGAGAGAATTATACATTGCAGTAAAACGACAAAAATAGTTGATGCTACAAACAGTATATACTTTCTTCGCAATATTATCTTATGTACAACCATAATGTTTTGTTATTTCAAAACAGAAATTTAGCGAAAAAACTTTTACAAAAAGTTGTACATGACTTTGTTAAAGAAACAGATTTTGTATAAACATTACTTGAGCAGAAAATTATTCTACCTTCAATTTTATGTTTTACTTGTTGGTGCAATTTTCGAAAAAACGAACAATACCCGATAATGGACGGAGCTGGCACCAATTCCTAGTAGCCCCTAATAGATATATGTTGAGAGAAAAAATTTCAAGCAAAAAAAATGCGAGCAGTTTTTGAATTTGAGAAAAAAATGGTTGTAAATTTCAAAGAGCAAACGACGCAAAAACTTTTATTTTTTACAAAAAAAATCGAACATAACCTTTTTTAAAAGAGAAAATTTGGTACATCAGACTTTTCCGAGACAAAAATATATTTTCAAAAAAACGAGCGTTACCCGGAAAACACGTTAGCACCATAATTTTTACCTTCTCTTATACATATCACCCGTTTGTGGTCTTCACCTGAACCTCGACGGGAGAAAACGCACTCGGTTAGCGACCTTGCAAAAAACCACTTCAAAAAACCTCGGCCGTGTTCTGCCCAAACCCTTCCCCATCCACATCTACTTCTCTTCCATCCTCCACGACCTTCTTTGGATACAATGACCTGTATCCCCGAAACCAAATGACTGTACTTACTCTCCCATATATTATTTACCTACATTTGTCGCCCATCCTTCCTCACCTCGCTGGCACTACCTGGGTACGATACTTCCCTGGCATTTTTAAATTCATTCATTATTTTCAACAACTTATTAGCTTACTAGGAAAACCAGCAATGTCATGGGCCCCCCCTCTCTCCCAACTCCTGCCTATGGCATCTCTTGTCAATTTCGTGTCATATTGGAAGAAATTCTGCTTCTTAAAACTAGCCATTTTTCACTAAAATTTACAATGTCTATTATTCATTTTTAAATAACCTTGACAATAACTTCACATTAATATCTGAATTTCAAGAGAAAACTGATTTGGTTAGGAAACTTTCAAAAAAAGGTGATAGGTAAAAGAAGAATTTTTCAGCTTTTGCAATTTTTTGAAAACTTCAGAAATTCATGAAAATGGACACATGTCATTTCTTGTAGATGTGCATTGTTCCCTTCCAAACAAAAAAAAATTTGGAAAAATTCAAGAGCAATTTTGAAAAAAAACTGTTGGAGGAATCTCGCTTGTAAAAAATACCCCTCAAAATTTTGATATTTTGTGTTCTTTAATTCAGAGGCCAAACATAAACCAGATTGATAGTAATATCAATAAAAGTTAATTGGACCAGTTAATATCAATTTTGAGGAACATCCTGTTTCCTGATTTGCTAGTGGGTTTAACAGGGAGACAGAAACGCTGAAAAAAGTTTTTGCACAAAACAATTATCAAGTGTCCACCAAAAACATGTCATGCTTACAAAAACAGCCCTCCCCCTCCACCATCGGTCCCTCCTATGCTGGTCTCGCCACCACAGATTCACCCCCTGTGCACAACTCTCAAAATTAGATTTCATTTCCATTTTCAAGGAATTGCCTGAAATTAATGAGGTATTGCCCTAAGGATTGGAAAAAAGAAAACAATTCAAATAAGGTGTCACTCACATCCACACTTCATACTTGTACAATATTATTGCCTAGTAATGTACAGTCTCCTTGGCGCATTCATCATTCAGTAACCACAACAGTACAAAAATTGTGTAACTACAAAAGGAGCACCAGGGGATCACAGCCCCCGCCAGGCATGAGGACAACTTGGGACGCAATGAATAGCACAGCGTTGAAAACTCCATTATGAGTAAATCTATATGTGCCACTTGTTTTATAACTCAAACCAAGATTTAAAAATCGGCAGGCTAGAAAATGATAAGTCATATAACAGTCTGTTGTGTCATATAAAGATCGTGGTCAGGTGTGCAATTTTAATTCTACATGTTAATTCATACATTCTAAAGAGAATGTTTTCAAGATCTTATCGTTACTCTGCCCAATCACAACACATCTCTGGTTGAAAGCCACTCATGCCACCCCACATCTCGATAAGTCAACATTATGCAATGAACAAAATTACAAAGAACAGATATGGACTTCCTTAGAGGTTCATTAGGAATGTTTTAATAAAATTATCTGTGAAGATGGGATGACTTCACAATGAGATGATGCCTCAATTCTAGTGAGCTCACTTCCAAATTCCACCTTCTACCCTGTTCACTGTGAAAAGAAGTTCTCAGCACAAGCTCTTGCGTATATTAGCACTGGGCATTTTCATCTTGGTTGAGTAATACATACTAATAGAATGGATGAATTTAAAATTATATACTTACATACCAGTAACATCTGATAAAAAAGTAATCTATTTACAAACAGTAGTAATTAAAATATTTTTTTCCAGTTTTACTTAACAACATCAAACACCAAATATAACAAAATAAACAAAGAAATCAAAACGAGTAAAGGGACAGCTTATGGCTCTATGAGGACGGCTTCACTCGTAAGTACAGGGTCCCTCAAATTGACCACTGGCCTTTGATAGGAGGCTCAGAAAGACATTGAAATGTAGGGAACATCTTTCTAGCACCCAAAACTAATAAAAATAAACATAGAAGATATTTAGTTGGTACAATAGTACATGTTAAAAAGCAGAATCTGAAGATGATGCAGGATGCGATTATTTTACTTTCTACTTTTGAACCTGTTCAAGTATCTTCTCAAAATAAAACTGCACCAAAGTCCAGTCAAATAGACAGCTAAAAAACATTATCGTAAGTCTGAGAGAGAAAAGATTTATCGGCTAAAAAAGATAAATAGTAGTATAAAAATGGCTCTGCCCTTACAATTGTTTCTTCATATTATGTTAATAACAAACCACTATGAATTAAACTAACTCCTTTATATTTTTACATTACTCTTTCAACCAAAAATATAAAATATTAGGAGCATCTTTCTGAAGGAAATTTCTCCTCTGAGCATGGGAGAATTATTTATTTATTTAGAAAAAAAGTATATAAAAATAAAGGTGAGTTATTCATGGTGTTACACTAGTTTTAGAATACCCAAAACAATTGTGAAAAAAAAAAAAAAAAAAAAAAAAAAAAAAAAAAAAAAAATACTATGAATACCATTCAAGAGGTATAGGCTCATAAGCAAGGTAATACCAATAGATATAAGGTTTTCTAAATGTGTGTTAAAATTATATTTAAATGATTTTTTTAATTAATAACGGCCATAACAGTTTCAGTAAGCTAAAAAACGTTTGACCAAGTCACAAAAAGAATTAATGTACAATAACATGTTCATGTTTTAAAAAAATAAAACACATTGATCTAGAATAAATTCAGAATTAAAAGGATATCAAAAAAGGTTCCTCAGAACTAAGAACCTAACTACCATTCACAGACGAGTAAACAATAAGCTTTAGTCTATTGGAAATGTTTAGTGTAATGGAAATGGTCTTGCAAGGTTTAAGTCACTGGGAAGTTCCCAAAAATGAAAATACTAAATAAATTGATAAAAGCAAATGATTTTTTCAGAAGCAAATTTAATTGCGTTAGATTCATTCATACTTAATGAAAGTCTATGAACAAAGTATATGACACCATTCAGGTAATTTTTTTTTTTTTTTGTTAGTGAGGAATATCTCAAACAGGACACTTAATACTGATACTCCAAGACAGACCCACTTCGCATACACCAGGTGCGGCAAATCCTTATGTCCAGCATCATTTCATAAAACTGGAAGTTCCCTTCCACATTTTAGGCAAAACGAGTAAATTCTCCCACTCCCACCCCAATATTTCATTCACTGGCAAGCTTAACTCAACTTTATTCCCACGTTAAGTAGATGCAGAGGAATAGCTGAAATGAGGAGAGGTGTCTCCACAAATCCACTCGTAGTTACACACTCAATTTCAGAATTAACAATAGTATCAGGAAAAAATTGTTGCTTTTAACTTCTTTTTTGATCCACCCTACATAATAAGTGGGAAGTGATTTACACATGGATTAAACAAAATATTGAATGAAACAATTTTAAATTGAACATTCAAAATATCTGAGATAATTCACATGATAAATGGCATTAGAGTGTAAAATATGACATAACAATAAATACATACATCAAGCTAGATAAAAACAAGCAAAAACCACCTTATACAAAGTCTGGCTTGTATGAAAATTATTGGTATAATATACATTTCAACAATCACAAAAATAGCTTATAGCATTACATTTACCAAACTCTTTGCAATTCATACAGCATGAGTTAAAGACAAAAATGAAAAGTAGAAATGCCAAACTAGGCTCAGATTCAACATTCTATTTTCCCAGCTATCTCAGGCAGGGGCTTCACTTCTTTTTTTTGAGCAGGGCACACCAGTTTAACTATGACACAGCCCTGACTCTCTTAAACCATGTCACCACATTATCCCACATAGAGCACCTATATTTTGTCATAGCAAGAGCCAATGATTAAATTACAGCATTATTTTACATAAGAAGAACCATTTGACATTTATGTTACATATTTCAGTTTAACTAGTCGAACTATAAACAAATGACAATATTCTCTTGAAAACCCATAAAACAGCAGAGACTAGTACACACAGGTTTTAGAAGCTGTCAGACTGTGCCCGGTAAATTCCTTGACATATAGTGAAAAACCACCAATTTGGCACAGACATACTTTAAATGGAAGCCCACAGGTCAAGAACCAACAACTGGATAACAGTAAACTGCAGCAACATTGAAATGTGCACGATTATCTATGAAGATCAATACTGACTAAGTCAGGTTGGCTGATGTAAAATATGTAAAAATTAAAGAAATTAAAATAATGTAAGTCTATTACACAGTAAAATGATGTAGCATTAAGAATATGAGCATTTCTGTCATAACATTCATTGTCTAATGGAAAAATATTGGAAGTAAAGACATTAGCCACATTTGCAAAAAACATGTTTATGTGTTCCTTCAGCTCCAAAACGAGAGTGGATTCATAATTTTTTTATAGTAAGGCATTAAAGAAAAAAAACACGAGTCATAAAATAAAATATTTAGCTCAATAGTACAAAATGTTTTTTAAACATCATTCAAAAGCAAGTGCAAAGCCAAATAGCAGGAGATTCCCATTTGTTGGGCAAAGACGTGTGACGTGAACAAACACATGCTCACTCCACACCTTCGCTATATATCTCGTGTCACCAGCCAAGCGTGCTCTTGAGATAATAGCAGCTAATTCTTGAGCCACTCGTCTAGCAGCACTGCTTGCAACCTACATGTTGCAACTGTGAGCGACTACTGTTACTATTACTATACTACTTGATGTGTCTCTTCCTTGCAAGAAGCCGCATACTGTCACCAGTGTGTTCCCAGTTGACTTTCTCTTATAGGAAACAGAGAGCAGGAAGAGACGGTTGCGTTGCACGACGAAGCATTGAAGAAAAGGGTGGATGAAAAGCTCCGCGTTTTGTTCCACCTGCTAAGATGAATAAATTACCATATATAAACAGTATGTTACTTTCTTGCCCTCAGTAACGATTATGTAATACTTTAAATATCATAATATCTGTCAATACATTTCGTAATCACTTGTAAAACTCATAGAACCACACAAGCACAAACTATTTATTTTAAAGTTAATATCAAACAAATTCGACAATTAAAACTGTGTTTTGTTGTATTACTTCACTTTGCCCAACAACGAGAGTTGCTCTGAGAAGGTTCAAACTTGCCCCCACATTCTGTATGAGTGCAAGATAACAATATATTCTGTAATCTATGAAAATACTCAGCAAATTAAAGTTGCAGAAAATACAGATTTGCAAATTTTTTACATTTTTACAAAAATACGTAAAACTATTCATATTTGAAAAAATTATGTACAATGCCTTTTTTAAAAAACTGATTTTTGTAGAACAAAACGGGCGACGGACAAACGGACGGACTGTCAAACAAACGACGGAACGTACTGACAACAAACAGACCAGACAGAGACAGAAGGACACGGACGGGCGGACAGACGGTCGGACAGACGGACGGACAGACGGACGGACAGACGGACGGACAGGACGGACGGACAGACGGACGGACGGACGGACGACAGACGGACGGGACAGACAGACAGACGGCGGAACAGACGGACAGACAGACGGCGGACCAGACGGACGGACAGACGAGGACAGACGGACAGACAGACGGACGGACAGACGGACGGACAGACGGGACAGACGGACAGACGACGGACAGACGGACAACGGACAGACG